TATTTACTGTTTGTTACAGTTTATTTACTGTTTTATTTACAGTTTAAGTAAATAAATATTGCATAAAATAAATAATCAAATTATATATTTTTCTTTATTGTTTTGTTCTGTACTATTTATTGTGTAATTTTAGTATGCGTTTATGTATAGTTTTTTTTTTTTGCTTTTTCTTATAGCAAAACAATGTCTCCTGTTTTAATGGTTTTAAACACTTACTCCTTTATGACATACTTTCTTCATGTTTAATCTTGACGGACAGATAGATGTTGCAATGGACAATACAACTGACAACAGGTGTAGACAAATGTGCAGAAAATCATATAAATATGGGGTGTTAAGGGTGGAAATATGAAGGCACCTATCAATTCATTTCAGTTTTGAATTGAGGGAGTCGCAAATACTCCAGAATTATTCTCGATGCAGTGAGGGGGTTCAGGTTGTGTTGACTACTGGCTTATATTGACTAATTTTGTTCTGTTTAAAACAGATTCATAACCGGTGGAAATTACAGAGTGTTGAGCAGCAGCAGAAGGAGGCGCAGGAGAAACGGCAGGCTAAAGAACAGGCCAAGAAAGCTCAAGGTACAAACAACACCGCAGCTTTATAGAAACCCTGCGTAGTCCGATGTTTTAATACACTAACTTTGAGATGATTTATTTGTGCATAAATGTCTGTGTTTGTCTTTCAGAGGAGCGAAAGAAAGCCAAACTGAGCTACCAGGAGTCGCTGCAAAACGTTCACACTGTCCGGCAGCAAGTAGCGGTGAGGAAGCTTCAGCTCACCAACTTTACAAGCTGTATTTGCTTTTCTTCGTTTTACACCAACAGGTTTTGTTGATTTTGTGTTCTTAGGAAGCAAAGCAGGCTGGACAGAAAAGAGAGAGAGCCGCCAGTGATGCTGGTGAAGAGAGTCTTAAACCAAAAATGAAAGTCTCAAAGACTGAAAGTGAGGCTGATCAGTCGACAAAACCTGCTCAGAAAAAAAAGAAACAGAAAAAAGTTCAAGAACCTGAAGTTCCCGAACAAGACTTTAAACCTTTTGACTACAGCCAGTCAAATTTGAAAATATTTGATGGTAAGACATCTGCCTTCATTTTTCATATGTATTTTTCCTATTGGTTCAGTGCATTGTCTTCATTGCTTGTATTTTATCCACACAGGCAAATCAAAAGAGAGTTCACAGTTTGATCCAAACAGACAAGCACATGGACCCAAGCAGAAGGTATTAACCTGTTTTCAGTCTACAAGCATTCACTGTCACACAAATCTCAGCTTGGATTGATTTAGCTGTGCAAGATCTGAATTTTTGTCGACTTTGATTCTCAGAAAAAAGGACAGAAGAAAAACGCTGTGGGAGGCAGGAGCATGTCTTATGTCCCTGCCAAATCTGACCGGTAACACACACACACACAGCTAGACTCAAGAAATAAATCATTGCTGGATAAAAAAACAAAAAACAAATTTGTATGATGGGTTTACTTCTGTTTGCAGAGGGTTTTGTCACAACTGGCCCAAGAGATAAAGTCTTCAACTGATGACTGACCTTCGCCTATTTGTGTTTTCCTTTTTAAAAGCGTTCTCTGTAACATTGATATTTTTTTGCAGACTGAATTATTTGTCATGACTGTTTCAGTACAGAATTGTGCTTGTACACATTAATTTGTGGTGTTTGATCCGTCATTAAAATGAGATTTTAAAAACATTTTTCTCTCGTCTTTCATTAAAGCCTTACGTTTTTACTTGAAGCTTTGATGTTTAGGATTTTTTTCTCTCTGCAAAATTAAAGGTAGGGAAGGCATTTTGTTTCCAGAAATATTTTTTGTTATACTGGTAGAAATTCTCTTCACATCTTGATGGCGATCAATAATTGAAGTGATCTGTGGCAGGGTTCGACCTCGGCGCAGCCAATCGCGAGCGTCTGGGGTGTGGCTAATGTAGCTAGCTAAGCCAGATTGCGTTTAGCCGGTGTGGAAAAAGAAAAAGATTTTGTTACAGAAGCTAAAGCCAAAATGCAAAGACTTGACAAAATAGACAGACATCGGGGGAAAACAAGGTTAAACATTGGCAGTGTTTTTGCAAAATGGTGGAATTTGACAATGTTTTCGTTTCAATTGATGCGATGAACTTGCAGCGTTTCTTCTCGACAGGTAAGCTAAACTTCAAATTAAAAGTATTTTTAATAAGTTGGCCCTTTTACTGACAGTCGCCTATGTTTTCCTGTTGAGGCATGCTTTCTTTTATAGACCCATAAGAGCTGTATTTGTGATATTTGAGTCATGACGCGCGAAAGGGCCGCAAAGGTTGTTTCTTCCGCGGATCTGTTGATTTCATGCTTTCATTTAACAAAGTTTTTATAACAAACCTAAAACACTTTTTGAGACATTAAAGTGTGCTTGTGCCAACTTTCTTTGAAACATTTCTTGGTTTAATAATTTATCTTAATGACATTCGTGTCTAAAGACTTTCATTGCCACTTTATAGTATTTGTTTTCCTGCAGTACATACCACAGCCTCTGGATGGCACTGCAAAGTAACATCATCAAACAAATTACTCTCCCAGTCATTCACTTCATGTGTAGAGAAACATGCAGCCTGGCAAGATTATATCAAATGGAAATCTTTAGTTCAAAGTTGCGTGGAGGAGAAACTGTGGTTTGATGTAACGGATAGAAATCCTTGAACTTCTCAAATCAACTCTCGTTTTTAATATCTAAAGTCATTTATTTTCGAGACTCAGTACTACACTAAGGTTGCTTAAGAACATAACAGGTATAACTATTCCGTCTGCACACTGAGAGCAGACCACATGCAACCCTTCGCTTCCTGCTGCTCAAGACTGTGGTTCTTTTCTAAACAATAGGTGCAAAGACAGGAAACGCCTCAATCAAGATGCTTTTGTCAGCTTCTACAAATACAAAGATGATCTTGTTTTTTCTCTCGAGTTTATTTAAAAGAACATAACTGATGTCCATAAGTCACAAGGGACAGTTAACCCAAAAATAATAATTGTGATTTTTCTCACCTTAATGTTGCTCCATACCTGTATGACTTTGAACACAAAAGAAGAGCTTTTAAAGAATGTTGATAACCAAACTATTGCGATTCCCATTGACTTTTTTTAACCATACAATTAAAGTCAATGGGAACTGAAACTGTTTGGTTATCAACTTTCTTCACAAGATCATCTTTTGTGTTCCACAGAAGAAACTCGAACAGGTTTGGAATGACCGTTTTCATTTCGGGTCTTTATCTCTTTAAGCAACAGTATACATTTACAAAGTTACACAACATTTATGTTCTAAGTCATAAATACGTATTTTGTTCGGCATTTTCAACAAAAAATGACATCAAACTCTGGTACCATTAATATTCTTCTTTCATTCTCTGATTGTGATCACATTTGTAATAAGCACGACACTGATAAAGTTCCAGAAAGTGTGAGTGGAGTGGAAATGGATGCGTACGCCACCCAGCTGTGTTCCCCCTCCCACTCACACACCCCTCTGTCGTTCTTTCCTTCAGTCGTTTTCTCTTTCATGTCCACCAGGAGCGCGTCCACACAGGAAACTGACATCTTTGTCTCCAGCACCCACTCTGGAAGAACAGCAATGAGTCAGTGCGCGTGTCCGCGAACTTCATCCGACGCCGCATTCGTACTTGAACAGTTTTTACGCAGAAATTCACGAATGAAAAAAGACGCTTAGATGCGTTTTTGGTTAATTTCCCGCGTCTGGGTCACGAAAAATGAGTTTCTAGGTTTCTGTAAAGTGTTTTATCCCATATCACGGCATCAAGAGTACAAAGTCATTCAAGTTTCACGTCAGTCTTCCAATCATGTGTCCCAGAGCTGAGAGCAGTCCTCACATTCCTCCGTCATGTAGAGGTACGAGTTAATGGCCTCCTTCAGGCCTTCGCTCACTATGGAGTCCTCTGCACCGTCTTTTCTCTGCCCGAAGATCATGGAGCTGCGAAGAAAACTCGTTTAGAAACTGCTCTACTAGTTTTTGAAAAGACGATATTACTAGTGTGTCATTAAAGAGAGAGTTCACCAAAAATGTAAAATCTGTCATTATTTTCTCACCCTCAAGTTGTTCCAAACCTGTATGAATTTCTTTCTTCTGTCGAACACAAAAGATATTTTGAAGAATGTAACTAAACATTTGATGGTAGCCAATGACTTCCATAGTATGGAACAAAATATAACGGAAGTCAATGGCTACCAGCAACTGTTTGGTTACCAACATTCTTCAAAGTATCTTTGTGTTAAACAGATGGGAAAAAAACTCGTACAGGTTTGGAACATGATGAGCGAATTTTAATTTTGGGTGATCTGTTGACAGTCACTTCATTTTGTGACTGGATGCATTTGACGCACCTGTCCACATCTTTCCAGTTTATAGTAGGCCTCTTCACGGCAACCGGAGGCGGGCCGGTTACCACAGGAACGTTGTTGGATCCAATGATGTAGCATGGCTCCCCCAGAGTACAGCACAGCCCGTCCGATACTTCTGAGGGACAGTTCACATTTAAACTCCGCCCACAACACTTGCACTCATTTCTGCACGTTCAGCCAAAATATGTTTATTTTAGCATGTTGCTGTGTGGTAGCTAATGAGTTTTGGGTGGTTGCCAGTACTATTTACGTAACAGCGCACTACATAATCATCTTTTTTTGTTTGGTTTCTGATGATACACCAGTGATCTTTGACTGCTGACACTGGATAGAGCATAAAGTTTGTTAGCTGTAGAATTACCCTATTCACAGCAATTATTTTTTTGTTCCCCACAATTTATTCCACCACTGAAAATGATCTAGAATAAAACAGTTTTTTATAGGCACTGGCATGACTGGAGTCCACCTCTCGTGTGAGTACATGATTTAAACATTTCCTCAAAACTATTAGTCAGTATCATGTATGTCATTAGTATCAAACCCAGCAACATCACATACAATCACTGGGTGCCAGTAATGAGTTACTGGCTGTATGTGTGTGTGTGTGTGTACCTGAATAGTGTGCAACCAGGTCTGAGAGGGTCCTGAAGGTGAGTCCAGGAGAGATGTAGACCCAGCCGTTCTCGATGCAGCTGATACGGTAGTGTTTGACAGAAGCGCATTCATGCGAGCTGCTCCTACGCACTGACAGAGTGTGGCTACCTGAGTAAAAAAAAAAAAACACATATACATTAATACAAACTGGATATGACATCTTATGTAGTTCTGGGTAGTTTCCTGGGTGTTGCCATGCAGTTATTTAGGTTTTTGAAATGCTGTTATGTGATTGCTAGAACATTGCTGTGCAGTTGTCAAGTAGGGCTGAAACGATTAGTCGATATTAATAACGCTGACAAAAAAATTTTCATAATTTTTGACAAATATTTTTGTTGTTAAATAGTCATTTGATCTCATATGATGTATTTTAAGGGCCTGCAATAACGTTGTTTGACCAGTGTGGCGCTGTAGCCCTCCTGCATGCAATCCAATAGAAGAAGACACTGCACTTATGAGACGTGTAAACGAAGCTAAACCAGTAGCCGAACAAAAAATGCTGTCATGTCTAAAGGCCTTGCAATCACAACAAAGTATTTTTCACTTTTCAGTCAGGGGTAAAAAGCAGTTTGACGCCGACCTCATACATCATCCGCCCGGAACTGCTTCCGTTTACAACAGTGAGCGCAAGCTAGATTCAAGTGATTATTACGTTTTGAATATGGATATTTTTCTTACAAAAACGCATAGATTCGCTACAGGAGGCCTTTGTTCACCCCCCAGAGCCGTGTGAGACATTTTTTATGGATGGGCGCTTTTTATTTAGCTTCTTTTGGACTGATGCATGCAACACCCGCTGAGTGGCATGAAACAGCTTGAAAGATCAAAGACAAATTTTAATATAACTGGTGAGTCCAGGAGAGATGTAGACCCAGCCGTTCTCGATGCAGCTGATACGGTAGTGTTTGACAGAAGCGCATTCATGCGAGCTGCTCCTACGCACTGACAGAGTGTGGCTACCTGAGTAAAAAAAAAAAAAACATATACATTAATACAAACTGGATATGACATCTTATGTAGTTCTGGGTAGTTTCCTGGGTGTTGCCATGCAGTTATTTAGGTTTTTGAAATGCTGTTATGTGATTGCTAGAACATTGCTGTGCAGTTGTCAAGTAGGGCTGAAACGATTAGTCGATATTAATAACGCTGACAAAAAAATTGTCATAATTTTTTCGACAAATATTTTTGTTGTTAAATAGTCATTTGATCTCATATGATGTATTTTAAGGGCCTGCAATAACGTTGTTTGACCAGTGTGGCGCTGTAGCCCTCCTGCATGCAATCCAATAGAAGAAGACACTGCACTTATGAGACGTGTAAACGAAGCTAAACCAGTAGCCGAACAAAAAATGCTGTCATGTCTAAAGGCCTTGCAATCACAACAAAGTATTTTTCACTTTTCAGTCAGGGGTAAAAAGCAGTTTGACGCCGACCTCATACATCATCCGCCCGGAACTGCTTCCGTTTACAACAGTGAGCGCAAGCTAGATTCAAGTGATTATTACGTTTTGAATATGGATATTTTTCTTACAAAAACGCATAGATTCGCTACAGGAGGCCTTTGTTCACCCCCCAGAGCCGTGTGAGACATTTTTTATGGATGGGCGCTTTTTATTTAGCTTCTTTTGGACTGATGCATGCAACACCCGCTGAGTGGCGAGAAAGCTTGAAAGATCAAAGACAAGTTTTAATATAACTCCGACTGGATTCGTCTGAAAGAAGAAAGTCATATACACCTAGGATGACTTGAGGGTGAGTAATTTATGGGCAAATTTTCGTTTTTGGGTGAACTAACCCTTTAACATTGAGAATTGTTCCCTATACTTAAGTGTTACCAAAATCAACGATTAGTCGATTAATAGTTCTAATGATCATTAGATTAATCAATTATCATAATAATCGTTTGTTGCAGATAGCTGTGATAGTGGTAAGTGGCTTAGCAAATCGTAGAAAAACAATAATGCTAGTAATGTAACTAGCATTAGCACACAGGTACCTGGGTAGGTCTCGCTCTCTCTTATAAGGAAGGATCCGGCGTGATTATGAGGGAGCATCAGCAGTTCCTCTGCTTTCTGTTTGCTGAGACCCACAAACTGCCACCTGCACGAACACACACACACACACACACACACACAGATGAGTGACAGAGCTGAGGGAAAAGTAGTAGGTAGAGTCAGAGCATCATGTGATGAGTGAGTGATCAGCAGGGTCAATGTGGGTACAGTACGTCTCCAAACTGATAATCAGATCATACTGTACCCAGCTGAGCCCACTCTACAGAAACTAAAACTGTCATCATCACCGCCTCTGGAGGAACAACGATGATGTCACTTATGGAACACACTTCACCAGACCACCTGACCGTGGGTGTGATGTCATGATGTCCTGCACGTATACTCTAAACCAATAGAAAGGCGATTTTCAAAGTGTGTGAGTTCAGCTCACCTGTTGTACACTTTGGCGGTGTAATTGCTGGGGATGTAGCTCTCATTTCCTGTGGCTGATGAACTGACTTTCCACCACTCTCCCTCACTGTAACACACATTATATCATCAGGTAATCAGCCCGATCAGGCTATGATGAGGGGCCACGGTGCAACAGTAGTACACTTACTCTGACAAAATGTTGAGCCTCTCTCCCACTCTGATTGTGCAGTCACCTGGACCTCTGGATGGATAGTCGTACAGGGACACCACCACGAATCTACCGCTGTCTGCACACAGATCAAAACAACACCTTTAGTCCAGCTGCTTTAGCATAGTATAATATAGAAAGAGAGCTCCCCAACAAGCCACATGATTAAAAATGTAATAAAAAAAAGTTGTCTTAACATTTATAGTGAAAATTATGTGCGCAATTTTAAAACGTATGGTTATGTGCAATTTTAAAATGTAAAAAAAGTATGATTTACCATTTAATTTAGCTTTAATGCACATAATTTAACAGTATATTATAAAATAAGTTTTTTGTAAGTTAAAATATGAGCCACCTTACAATTGATGGTGGAAAACAATTAAATGGCTTTTCCAAAAGTCTTTGAATTAGATTTAATTTTTGCATTTTAATTTGAGTTCAAAGTAAAAGTAATTAAATGTTTTTTTTTTTTAATGTCTATATAGTTTTTATTAAGTTTAATTATTTAGTTTTAGTTATTTTAGCACATAAACCAAATTAAAATGTGTATTTCTTTCCAAGTAATGGATTTTTTTATGGTTTCAGTTTACAACACTGTTATAAATCAAATATTTTATTGATATAGCACTGGTTCCTACATTTGATCTTTTATCATGTGTATGACCCTGTGCACGTCTATATACTGTACGAGTATTATTATGGTGGTTATCAGTAATGTACAAACCAGATTTTAGTAGTTCAAGTGATTTAATTGATGTATTAATATTTTATCAGTTCATAAAATATACAGCTGCTATTCTGTAATACCTAAGAACTAATAATAATACCTAAGTCATATTTTTTACAGTGAAATTCTGGCAAACTCAGCTGTAATTTTTTTACAGTCTGTTTTTTACAGTTTATCATTCAGATTAAATTCTTACCCTTAAGTATGAGCACTAGTAAAGCACCACTAAATGCTACAGTTGCAACAGTCAATAAAACATTGCAAGTGAATCCATACGCACATCTGAATGAGCTTCACTATTAGACTTATTTACATTTAGTGCTGCATTTCTAAAATCACCTCGTGCATATATAAAGTGCTGAACTCACCCATGGTGCTTTCCTCCGTGTCCAAGAGAACAGCATGTGCGCTGGATCCACGCCGGTCTTTACTGGGCCGACTACCCATGGCCGACTGCTCTGGAGTTTTCAGGCACACAGTGCTGATAGGAACCACAATCTAAAAACAGAAGAGTGAGAATTTTTTAGAATTGATTCTGTTCTTCTTTAAAGTAAAAAAACAAAACAATCAAATCTGATGTACAGTTTGATCATGCCATGGCTTTCTTTTGTCACACTTTGAACGCAAGGAGGAAGGATGCTGACAAACCACTTGTGTACTTTGATGAAAACTTTCCATCCGCACTTTCAGTATCACGCACTTATTTACCTTGGTTAAAAAAGGAGTGGCCATTCTAAAAATAGATCTGGTAAAACACGGAGAACATTCTACTATTTTCTATCATGCTCAGTTACATCACAACAGTACAAGCTGCAGTTATTTAAGCAATACACGTACGCCTGAATAATAAACATATACAACAAAATCAATAGATTAAAATGATTCAGTATGCAAATAACAGGTCAAATATTACTAGCTTAGGTGAAACCATTATATAATGTGACTCATATTCTTATATGACTGATGAAGCGACTGTAAAGTGCTGAGGTTCAGCAATCTTCCATTGCCTTCCCACAGGGTCGATATGAAAAATTATCACTGTAAATCATTTAAAGGAAATCAGCTGGTTTGATGAACTTGATAAGTCTGATCAAAACAAACTACATATTTTCCAAGAACATTTATGCGTAATGGTTTTTTCATGTGCTAAAATACCATCAAGACATATATCTACCTTTTTTTAGAATTTCTACATCTATAATCTTATTGCATGTTATTACACCGTAATAACCATTTATTACATTGTAATAACCCTGTAATTTAATTGCTGCTATTAATAAGTTCAGTAAACACACATGATGTCACCAGCGCTGATTTCAACACTGTCCTAAGCCTAATGTTCTATTAGCATTCATTAGTGATCTTCGAGGGGCATTTTTCCATATCATATTGTAATGCAGTGGCACTGTTCCCACAGCTATATGATATTATGGAGCAGATGGTCACCTGGTAACACAGATGGGTCTCACTAGGTTATCGGGGTCTCCAGGTCTAAATTACAGACCTCATACCCCAGGCACCAAAATAACACATGTGTAACTGATTACATGTGCTACATATGTGACCCTGGACCACAAAATCAGTCATAAGGGTAAATTTTTTGAAATTGAGATTTATACATCATCTGAAAGCTGAATAAATAAGCTTTCCATTGATGTATGCTTTGTTAGGATAGGACAATATTTGGTTGAGATACAACTATTTGAAAATCTGGAATCTGAGGGTGCAAAAAACATACAGGCACGATCACACGCAAACTAACAAACCGACAGCTAAAAGTCAGCCATTTAAAGACATATTCGACATTTCTGAATAATGTTTAACATTATATTTCATGGGTGCACTTTTATTTAAAAAAATAAATAACTTGTAGATTATTAGAGATTGTTGTAGATTATTGGAGTACATTTTACAGGATATCAGTCCTTCTACTTCAAAATTTTAATTCAGTGTTACTTGCTGTTTCTTTGAAATTATTTGTGAAATTTACTTGCAATTTCTGAGTCAAAATGGTTTCACCACCAACATTTGTTTCTCAGTGTATGGAGATAAGGCACATTTGGACAAAGATTAGAGCAAGGTTACTAACTTCCTGTTGCGACTAGAGCGTCGAATGTCTTTTTCTCAATGCTTAAGCTATTTAATACGTCTTTAAGAGTTCTCAAGTCTGAATTATAAACTTGTTGCTAAAAAGGTTGTTCAAAAGTTTCATACCAAACACATTTTAATAATCATAAAAAACACATTTCATAACAAAAATGTCTTTGAAATGCCTTTGAAGCAAGGCGCCTATGCAAGCGCACACTTTTCAAGCTGATTCTGACTTTGATTCAAGATTCAAGATTACGACTTTGAAGTTCAGAGCTCCTTGTTTCAACATTACACACATATATACTTTTAGACCAGTCACATAACACACAGTATTTTAAAATATTTTCCTTAAAAAAACGTTAAAATTGTTGCCAGTCTTTATCCCAACCAAAAATAGTATTTTAATTACTATAAATCTATATTCACATGTGAACATTAAACATTGCTTTGTATTATAATATTGTGCAAGGTGCTTTCGATAACCCCCCGAAATGTATAAAAGCTCACAGCACTCTGCAAAAAGACCTTAAAGAGAGAAATTTGGTCAAAGTCTCTTACTCACCTCATGGTCCTCAGGCTAGCAATGATGACGATCCTTATTCGTGAGCACAATCCTTAACTGCACATCTGCTTATGAACGTGCAACAGCCTGAAAACTCAGATAGCCAAGTTAGAAAACTATTTGGAGTGATTTCTGTAAAGATCAGAGGCTTGTTTTCTTGAGGAGCTGAGAAGTTGAGCTCAGTTTCAGGTGATGTGTCACTGCGGGATGCTGCTGTGGTCGTGTCAGTGTTTTAGCATTGCACACTGAGGCAGGCAGCTTTATTTACTAGATACTTGTAGTTTCCTGTGACGAACAGGTCTAACTGTCACTCCCTTGCTGACGCACAGATGCCTGACAGAGAGAACAGACTGGAGAAGATGTTTTGAAAGCTCAAACTGTACTAACACATAACAGATGTTAGTGGAGATGTCATGATGTCATGGGCTCATTGATGCAGTAATACAGATGCCAACGGAAGCAGCTTCAGAAATTTCAGAAAGGTTTCAGAAAGGTTCAGAAATGGTCTAGTGCTAGTTTTAATTTCACATATTCCCAAATGCACCAAAACCAATTGCCATAGCAATAAGTGCCATGGAAACTAAATCATCAGATCAGAGCCTGGTATAGCTGCAAAACAAGTCTGGCTGCAAATAATGACAGCTCATTAACATTTTAAACTCTGGCTGCAGAAAAAAAAAGAGATAGAGATGCACCGTTTGCACTGTTTCACAGAATTTTGCATGTTTAGGCACTTAAGGTACGTTTACACAACAATGATTGTGAAAAAAAATAGAAAAGCCTTTCTTTTTGTTTTTGAAAATTTTTGCGTACAGACGGCAATGCCGTTAAAACGATCCCCATTCACATGGATCCGTGAAAATGACTAAGAACCATGTGCCAATTTTTATGCATGCCTGGCCACTAGATGACGATGTCACTGTAAAGAAACACTACACACCTGCGCACTAGGGCTGTCAAAATGGCTAAAAACTAAATTTGAATTTTTACATTTACATTTAGTCATTTTGCCGACGCTTTTATCCAAAGCGACTTACAATTGGGGAATACATAAAGCGATTCTTCTTAAAGAGGCAAACAGACACAGGAAGTGCTTGAAATACCAAGTTTTAGGCATTGTTCAAATAAGTACAAGCTAGAAAAGGGAAGGAATAAATAAAAAGAAAGTTTTTTTTTTTTTTTTAAGATGAAGTCAAGTAGCGTTTAAAGAGATGAGTTTTCAGCTGTCACTTGAAAATTGTCAGGGATTCAGCATTCCGGATAGGGGTGGGAAGATCATTCCACCAGCCAGGAACGGTGAACGAGAATGTTCTGGAAAGTGATTTTGAGCCTCTCTGTGATGGAACCACGAAGCGTCGCTCACTAGCGGATCTCAGACTTCTGGAGGGGATGTAGATTTGTAGTAGTGAGTGGAAGTAGGCGGGTGCTGAGTCTGTGGCTGTTCTATATGCAAGCATCAATGTTTTGAACTTGATGCGAGCCTCAACCGGCAGCCAGTGCAAGGAGATAAAGAGAGGTGTAACATGGGCTCTTTTGGGCTCATTGAAGACCAGTCGTGCCGCTGCATTCTGAATCATTTGTAGAGGTTTAATTGTGCTTGATGGAAGTCCAGCCAGAAGAGCATTGCAGTAGTCCAGCCTAGAGATGACAAGGGCCTGGACAAGAAGTTGTGCAGCATGCTCCATTAGAAAGGGCGGTTAGAAATTTTGTACTTAAATATTATCAATATTCAAATTTAAAAGCCATAATTTCAGTTTAGGGGGGGAAAACTTTTGGCTTTTCTCCTGAGGCCACAGAGGGCGCATCGAGCAAAATATTACTAATGCACGTTTATTCAAAGCAATAAAATAACATAACTGTGTGTGAAAAGAGTGTATAATTAATGTTTATAAACCAAATATTTGTAAAACAATTACAAATAAAAACATCACATAAGTATTCATAGTTTAATACAAAGGGCCAAAGCCAATAACACAGTACTTTTTTTTTTATTTAAAACCGCCAGTCTCGAGACATGTTTTTTGAAAAGTTGAACTTGCATAAATTTTGCATGGCGAGTGCAATGGTGATAGATGTCCCTCTGGAAAATGCGCAAAATATGCATTCTGTGAGAACGGCTTGGTTTCAGTTTTGATGTAAACAAGATCTTCTTCGCATTGATGTTCTCTTTTTCGGCAATATTTTGAATGAACAACGCAGCAGCACAGCATCTAGTGTGTTCAACTAATAGGCTAATAAAAACATTAAAATGCAAATGACACTTACATCACATCTTGTGCGCCACTGATAAGGCTGCCTTAATGCACACCTAAAATTCGAATGCAAAAAAACGTTGCATTCGAATTTTAGGTGTGCGTTAAGGCAGGCTTGTGTGGATTTTTATTTTAAATGACGAATATTCCAAATTCAAATTTTTATTTGACAGCCCAGCTGCGCACATACCTATAGACTGAACACGTAATATGAATGCACATGATGACACGTTTTTTCACAAATTCGCAGAAACTTGCAGTTTAAAACCAGTTTTCAAAAGTTTGCATTTTCAGGCTCCCAAAACACCATTGTCGTTTAAATGAATGGCCCAAATGCATAAAAAGTTTGCTATTTTTATTTGAATACGGTGTTTGTTAAAGTGATGTCACTGAAGATGTTCCGGTGCTAATTCGCATGACAAATGGACTGAGTTAATTATAGTCATAGTAGACTGTCAACCCTAGCAGGTTACCAAAGTTCACCATGTGCCAATTTCAGATAAGAAGAAAATCAGCTAATCTGTACGGAAAGTGAAAATGACAAACATATACGTTGAGTTGATCTAGTTGAATGATTTTGCACATCAGATGGAAAGACGACACAAATCTCTTATCGACTGATCCTTTCTACTGTGGTCAATGTTGTGTTAAAGTACTTGAAGTGTGTATGCCACAGTTTCTATAAATAGCTTTCAGATGTGTCATCTCTGACCACATGCAATCAATACAACCTTTAAACTTGCTTGTGATCGGAAACTTTCACAGAAAGTTGACAGAAAAACTGTGATGGGTAGTACACAGAATTGCATGTTGAGCATTTGAATACCAGTGAATACAAGTGCTTTGAAGCGATTTGGGTCACATTATACTTTGTTTTTCCCTGAGGTACAATTATAATATTAGTTAAGGTTTTATTGGCACCCAAACATGATTTAGTATTCTTTTGACTGTTTTTTGCACCCAAAACTGAACATTTCACAACTAGTATGACTTTCTTCTACAGAACACAAAAGAAGATGTAGTTGAAAAATTTCTTTCTCAGCTGCGTTTCCATTACCCTTCAAATTGCACAAATTGAAATTATGAATTGAAAAAACGGCCAATGCAAACATAAATTTCACGAAAACGTCCATATATTGCACAAAAAAATTTTTTACGCTCGCATAAGGTGGTTTTTCAGGCAATTCGAAAAAGGAATATGTCGCAAAACTGCAATGGAAACAGTTTTTCCTCATTTACAGGTCACCTGGTGTATGTAAAAGTCACATGATCATTCTTTAATGTACTGTAACCTCCAAGAAACACCTCATACAAGGTCGCTTTCAAGTTTAAGGGGCTTTCCTTGCCATTAATGCTTGGATAACCCCTTATTTATACTGCACACATCTGTGGCGCATTGCGGCTTGGGCCATTCTTTTTCCATAACTGGAAAGAAAATTCCAATTTGTAGATTTCAATTTCAATAGTTTTTTTTCCACCCTCAGTATTTAAGTCTTTTCAGTTTTATATTCAGAACGTTTTTTTTTTTTTTTTTTAAATCAGAGGAGTGTGTTCATATAAGATTCATCGGATTTTAGACTTTATTCCTAAAAATAATATTCATATTAACTTTTTTTTTTTCTTTTTTCCCTCACTGTATTTTATGATTTATGGAGTGAAAAAAGATCCAAAATCCCCAATGTAAAAAACTCTATGTCAACAAAAAAGACATTGCTGATTTATCCAAAGTTCAGATTTCTGTTCTGGAAATTTAAGCAAATTAGTGCAAATACAACTGTTATTTGAACAAGCTACAGATCTTAGCTTCAGTTACTGGCTTGTTTTGGTGTAGCTGATCTCCCAAGCACAGGCTGTGAAAAATAATTTACATGAACTTAAGTGCAAATCTAAGCAAAGTCTTTGCTATTAGGGGTTTCTGGTCTAAAACTCTCCATGTAAACAGAATCAGATTGATTAAATTCAATCAGACTGAATTAACCATTTGCAGAAAGATCTTAACACAATTAAAGGGTTAGTTCACCCAAAAATGAAAATTAGGCCATAAATTACTCACCCTCAAGTCATCCTAGGTATATATGACTTTCTTCTGTCAGACAAATCCAGTCGGAGTTATATTAAAAATATATAAATCTTTCAAGCTGTTTAATGCCACTCAGCGGGTGTTGCATGCATCAGTCCAAAAGAAGTTAAATAAAAAGCGACCATTCATTAAAAAAAAAAGTGTCTCACACGGCTCCGGGGGGTGAACAAAGGCCTCCTTCCGCGAATCGATGCGTTTTTGTAAGAAAAATATCCATATTCAAAACGTAATAATCACTTTAATGTAGCTTGCGCTCACTGTTGTAAACGGAAGCAGTTCCGGGCGGATGACGTATGGAGGTCAGCTTTGCGCATGTGAAGCCGAGAGCAAGATATGCCTCGTCATATTTTCTGCATTTAGCTTTTAAATGACCAGCACCTGCCTGGGTCTGTGCGACTTCATCTATGGCTTTTCTCTTCGCTTTCACAAACCCATCCATCTCCCATTCTAAGTTACATCCTTTGGCTGTTTACTGTTTCATTTCTTTTCCTGCTCATGGCCCGCGCTCGACTTGAAGCAGCGCTGCTTAGACCGATGGGTGTGTGTCATCAAAGTACTGAGAGAGCTATAAGAGAGCGCGGACGTCTCCTTATGCTTTCTCTCGCCGTACTTTGATGTCATACACCGATCGATCTTCAAGTCGAACACACTTCTTTACTCTCGCGTGTCACGTGACCGAGTGTAATCGCAGCCCCTGTGATTGAAAAATCGCGTTTTTTCATATCGCGATATCGCAAATGCAATTAATCGATCAGCCCTACATTAAACAGCTTGAAAGATCAAAGACAATTTTTTATATAACTCCGACTGGATTCGTCTGAAAGAAGAAAGTCATATACACCTAGGATGACTTGAGGGTGAGTAATTTATGGGCTAATTTAAATTTTTGGGTGAACTAACCCTTTAATACTAATATACATTTCTATTGTACAGTTTAAATAGGGACATGCTAATCAGTAGATTTTATTCTAGAAAGACTACAAATGGTAGACAACTATAGAATGCCTCATGTGCATATACAAACTTAATGTTTCAGAAATCTTATTATACAAAAAAAGTACACTACTCATGAAGTGTCTTGTCTTAATATCAACTTGCCAAATAAAGACAGATACAAGTTTTATGTGCAACTACTTTATTTCAATATTCGTACAAATCAATATACTCAGCAGACAGTATGAAGTACAGCGCCCCCTAAATGCTTGGAGGACAAAGCACAACGCATCATCACAAACTCACTCAAGGAAGCGTTACAGTTAGCAATCAACAGGGAATTGCCATCCATTAACTATAGAATGCCTCATGTGGCATATACAAACTTAATGTTTCAGAATCTTATTATACAAAAAAAGTACACTACTCATGAAGTGTCTTGTCTTAATATCAACTTGCCAAATAAAGACAGATACAAGT